GCACGCACGCACGCACGCACGCACGCACGCACGCACGCACGCACGCACACACACACACACACACAAGGAAATGGTATTTTACAAAAACTAGGCCAAAACCTGGCCAAGCACTATTTTCTAATGCCCAAACTTCGGAGCTATTCTAGTTTTACGGAAGTTAATGATTCGATTGTTGACCCCTTTCATTCCAACGTGTTATTTGGCATTGCAATTTTCTCGCTCATCAGTTCGCTACGGCAATGAAATATGTTTAAATATAAGGTTAATATTCGGTAAAGGTTACGCAGTGTCATTCTATATTTGAATTATCGGATGTTATTCTTAAAAACGTGCACATCAGAACATCCTAACCGTAAATAGCCGACCAATTGAAATGTTACTTTAACTATTCAGTCATAAGGTAATAATTCAAAGTAACGATTCACCGGATTTCTCAAAAGGAATTTTCGCCTATTTCCATAAAACGAATAACTTCGAAGAATGGACGCTGTAATTACAAGTAATGAAGTTGTTTTATTATGCGCACAGCCCAGGAACGGAATTCACTGCCTGCGGCTGTGTTTCCGAGCACATACAATCCGAGTACATTTAAGGTGCGACTGAAGGCATCTTCAGGGCGACCTCGTTCCATCGTAGACCCTATCTTGACTTCAGGACTTGATAGTTTTTGATACATTTTAAAGTTTTTATTCCTTTTAAATTTATATTCTTCTTACCGTTATGTTTTTGTTATTCAGTTGAATGTCATAAAAATCGCTAAAATATACGTTCCCAATAATCTTAAAGGTTAAAATTTCTTCCCTTTCTCCCATTCAAAGATAATAGGCAGGCGTCTCAGGCCGACAAGCAATTTACATAAACTTAAAAAGAGTAATTAATATTCGATATTCAATGATTTTTGTGAAATTAATCTTATATTTATCGAGTGAAGAAAAACGTTCACAGATTTCTCACAGATGGCGCTACGGCAAAAAGTCTCAACAACCCAAAACAAAGATCTGCAACAAGCACATAGAGAAATTCGTAAGGTCCGATTGTTTCGTGGCTTAGTTGGCATAACGTCTGGTAGGGTTGGCTAGGAGACCGGGATCGGAGGATTTTTTTCTAAGTATTCGATTTTTGTATTGATAATTATAACAAACTAGTGAAGTAATTTCACAAAAAAATAATTTAATATCATGATGATGAAACATCCTGACATTCAATAAAAACTTAAGTAACTACTATTTTAATTTTCACTTTAGTACTGCAATGAAAATTCTCATATTCCCCAACATTCCGCACTATGCGTGATGAATTGGTCACTCTAAAACAGCGACAGATAAGAAAGTTTTCCTCTCATATAAAGAGAGTATAATCAAGCATTCACAAGAGCGGTGGTAACACAGAGGGTTGCTTCACAACTTTTATATACCTAAAGAGAGTATAATTTACACATTCTTAAGAGCGGTGGTAACAAGTCATTTTCATTTGATTTATTGCACCGTATAAAATTTACA